CGCTCGGATTTCTTGCCAATTTAGACGTAGGTTCGTCGCAGTTTGTGGCATATTTACTTTCGTGCGAGGAACGACAGTGCGTATATCTTTGGTCTGCGATATCGAAAGCAATGAACGGCAAAGTAGTTATGGAAGAAATCACGCACGCGCGCACACATATACACAACACACAAACACACGCACGGCCAGGCGGATGTACGGTACAGCAGATATAACAACGTGGCATATTGAAATGACGCATAATTTATTACGGCGGGGTTCTCGCATAATAAGAATAAAAAGGAAGCATATAGGGAAATACGTCGCGCAGTTCGCATTGCCACTCATTGGCCACACGAGGTTAGCTGATCGGCGGCGTAGGATTTCATGCGCTACGCCGCGGCAATCCCTGTGCCCTGCGCGAAATTAAACTTCTAATATAATTAGTTAAACCATTACCCTCTCCGCTAAGCTGCGCACTACTTATCGATACAGACGTAGTCGAGCGAATGATTACTTAGCAACTCGTTCGCCAGTGTACTATGAGATTATCCACACAGTTCCCTCCGAAATGAGAATTTTACAAGTATTAGGGGGTTTCCTTCGACGCAAACCCTCGCTCGGATTTCTTGCCAATTTAGACGTAGGTTCGTCGCAGTTTGTGGCATATTTACTTTCGTGCGAGGAACGACGGTGCGTATATCTTTGGTCTGCGATATCGAAAGCAATGAACGGCAAAGTAGTTATGGAAGAAATCACGCACACACACGCGCGCACACACATACACAACACACAAACACACGCACACGCACTCACGCACATACGCAGACACATATACACAGACACACAGACAGACACACAGACAGACACACAGACAGACACACAGACAGACACACAGACAGACACACAGACAGACACACAGACACACATGCAGATACACAGAAACACACAGACACCCAGACACACGTACCCACACACTCTCTCTCACGCACACACACACACGCGCGCGCGCACACACACGCACGCACGCACACACACACACGCGCACGCACGCACGCACACACACGCACACACGCACGCACACACACATGCGCGGTTCGTGTTTCTACCCTTTCTTGCTTAAATAGACGTCGCGCGCACGACTTCTGTCGCAGGTGTATGAGTTTTGATTTTGATTGACACGTCTGAGGTCGCGTTCACTTAGCGAACAGTATAAAACTTTTTACTAAAGCTTTTCAGTTTCAATTATTTAGCACATTAATCCTGGGCCGCGCGAACGCCCGCATTCTCTAGAAAGAATATCACGAACGAAAAATGAAATCGAACTCGACAGCGTAGAACCCCGGCATTGAAAATGCGGCGATGTTATATAAGCTAAGTCTATTCATTCTCACCACAACGAGCTGATCGCATTCCACGGCACGCGTCAAGCTTGACAATACCCACGTCTGTGTTCAGATCAGCATGGTGCTAGTCTTCTATCAGCCGGCTGCGTGTGTATATATCGTATATTACAGCCGTATAGTGCCCTGCGCTGATGGAAACTATCCTGAACTATGGTCGAGAAAAAAACATGGCGGGTGCGATGGCCCTTTATTGCGCAGCAAACTTTCCGAAAATAATTCTCCCTTACTAAATAAGAGTGCGTGTTTATTGAGGTACTTTTATTCCGTGCGATAGCAAAGGAATACATTTCGTTATTGGTTTTTTTTTGTTTCCGATGCAAAATAAAATTTCTCAACATCACCGGCGAACAAGAAATGAGGGTCCGCGTGGGTCACTGGAGAATCACGGTCGCTGCGTTGTAAGGCAAGAAATCCTACCTCACTGTTCAACTTGCTCTGCATGTGGACGCAAGTAAATGTAATTGGTAAGGGACTAGTGATGCTCCCTAGTCTCATTCTGAAGGAAGCTAGGATTACTACGGTTCGTGTGTACAGCAATTGTGCTAGGTCTGGTACCACTGCCCAGCTTTGTACATGTCGTTATAAGTATCACTGAGCGACACTCGATTTTCAGTTTTGCAGCCTATATCACTCTTACTCGTAAGAGACGTTCTCTTATGGCAAATAGTGATATAACCCCTTATGAGCTGTTGAAGATAACTGGCTCGTCGAAATCACGTTGGTCGACACGCACGAACAATGTCTAACGCCGCCTCTGTTATCTTTCTATTATTGTGATTATCATGGATAAATTGAATTAACATAATAGCAACAGAACTATTTTGAATGTCGAATAGCCGCATACTAGGTAAATGATAGACACGTTCTAAATTTGAGGGGATCTTCTATAGAAATTGGTGGTATGTTTAAGTAAGACGTTAAGCACTACCAGCGTAACCAGTGTTGTAGTCTTATATACCCGTCCAAGCAATGCTTATAATTGCAATCCGAGCATGAGAGTATTAAAGCAATTATTTCAAACAGTTTTCCTGACCGTTCTTCTATTTGTCCAACCAACATTATTTGTTATTTTATGTACCATAACAGTATAAACCCATGATAATTTTTATATTGAAGTAATCAATAACATGTTCGTCATTAGGTGAGAGTATATTGCGCTATATTTGGCCCGATTGTGCAGTTATTTATGAAATAATTCCTTTAAAGTGGGAACCCTATACCATATGACTCGCCCTACATATTTTAATAGTCGAGTGAAGGTTGCTCTGCCTCACTGTCTCCCCCGGGCAATTGTGCGAGCACGAGTCTCATCATAGAAACAATGAACAAATTCGATTTTATCCACCTCGTTCAGTGCAGTATAGAAAATCTATCTATCGATCAGTATATATCTCAGTAAGATGATTAGCTATTGATGCAATTACTACGGTCTAGCCAACGCGTTAGTTTAAACACAATACAATAGTATATCTAAACTATTACCTGCAATACCTCAATGGTTAGACACTCTAAAACATTATAGTCGTAATGTCATTGGCTTCGCTGCTAAACCGCGCTAACAAGTAATATGGTAAATATACTTATAAGTATTAGATTAGCTTCTTATACGCGAACGTAATCATGGTGAGATATCATATATATTGCATCCGCTGTTCCATGTATTATTAACGCACGTAGTGTGGTGTTGGCTGTCTCTACGAAGTGCCAACTCCGATATTACTTATTGAAGTGTTCTACATCAGTGTGTTTTTTCTGCGTCGACTCAACGACGCAAAAACGATCATTTACACCCCGTATACCTCTAAACTTCGTGCATCGCTCGGCGCCGGTATATGAACAACGCTCTCGCACAGCTCGCTGCATAGCAAACGTCGATAGCGAAAATCACTTTAGTTGAAAAGAAGAGGCTAATGATTGCGGTTGAGAGCGTGTTGGCCCCGCCGGCGCTGCTCGCGGACAGGAAGTCGACAATCAGCGCATGCAGGAAGAAGGCGGTGGAACCTCTGGCACGGTGCGCGCACGCGGGGACTTCACACGTGACTCCGTCATGCGGTCTGGCCGCCAGCATGCAGCTCGGCCGGCACCGACTCGGTGATTTAGAGACAGACAAAACCCGATGTGTGTGTATACTTCGGCTAACCGCACGCCGCGCTGTGCCGCCGCGTTCGGCGATTTCGCTAAGACGCGAGCAATATGAGCCCGCAATTGCGCGCCACACGACACCGTTAAAGCTCTCATTCTCTTTCTCACTCTCTCAAGCGCGCGCGCTCTATCTCCCTCACACTCTTTTTCGCACACACACAACACACTTCTTCTACCCACGGACACACATACACTCACATAAACACACACATACACACACACACACACGCACACACACACACACACACACACACACACACACACACAACACGAAACATCTCTCTATTCGTCGCCTCTCTCTCTCGTCTCTCTCTCTCTTTCACTCTTCTCTCTCTCTCTCTCTCTCTCTCTCCTCTCCTGTCCCTCCTCTCTCTCTTCCTCTCTCTCTCTCTCTCTCTCTCTCTCTCTCTCTCTCCCCTCCTTTCACTTCTGTTGTGTGGGACGTAGATTCGGTTGCCTCGCCGAGATGGCACGCGAACGCTAGGCTCCGCAGCGAAATGCCGCTGTTATCGTTTTATCGCCGCGCCGCATGAAATATTCACGAGTCCAACTTATGGTAAAGAAGTTATCGGCAACATTTTCTATTCCCGTTGTTAAAACTATACGGTTGCAGCCGTGTATTATGTACAGCTAGGCATTGTGCGTGCGTGCGTGCGTGTGTGTGTGCGTGCGTGCGTGTATGCTTGCTCGCTTGCGTGTGTGTACATGCATGCGTGTTTGTTTGCGCGCGCGCGCGTGTGTCTTAACGCAGGCAGTGCAGTAGTGGTAGTCATTTAGCCATGCAGCCGCTTGCGACCAGCGATTTCGCGAAGCAGCATGCGTATCGAGCGCTTCATTTACCAAAAATATTTAATCGATTCGCGAAATTAGAACTAATGCAATTTGCAGGACCGGGAAACGCTACGAGACACCAATTGTTCACAATTTGGGGAGGCAAAATCGAATAAGTGAAGGTCTGGGAAATGCGCTGCATGACCCGCGTATATAACGTGATATATGCAGAGACGATAGCGAAACGTGTTATCGATACTTATTTATTATGTCGCAATGTCCCACGTGACGTAAATCTATACACGTAACCACACAGGAATTGTTGTTTGTGTGTTAATATATAAACCAAGACCGACTACCTTAGTAATTAAAGCTTTAATTGTCAAGAGGTTAGCACATCCGTATGTGCTTGTGTTCCCTCCATGCGCAATAGTGTATATAGCGGTTTTATACAGTTGTTGTTGTCGTCGGTATATACGCCGATAGTGCCGTGGCGCGTGTAATCGCGAACAAATATGGGTAATCTACAGATGTAATAGATGTATGTACGAGTGAATATGATTCTACGCGCAGAGGCACTCGTATGAAAACTTTCTCAACGACCACAATTACGTCGCGAAGAGAACGAAAGCACGAGAGAATGTAATCGTAGGTTTGTAGGATGATTTTCATAAGGCGACATTTCATTTCTCTTTTTCGCAGTGTCTGCGAGTATGAACGCGTACTTTGATCCATACACGCCACGCAATGTTACAACGGAGCTCGATGAAACCATATTCATGCAGTGCAGGGTTCACAATCTGGATGGGAAAACGGTAAGTATCTAATTTATATTATATTTATATAAGTGTGTGTGCGTCTTGGTAGTCTGATTAATAAATTACCAGATGATCATGGTTAAAACACGGTTGCAATTCAAAACCGGGCCGTGATTTAAAACATATAGCCGCGATACAGCCATTGCCGCGTTTAAATCATGGCCGCAATAAAAAAAACATACCCGAATTAAAACGCGGCCGTGATTGAAACATGGCCGCGATTAAAACATGGCCGATCGATAAAAACATGGCCGAATTATAACATGGCCGCGATTACAACATGGCCTTGATAAAAAAAAACATGGCCAAATTCAACATGGCCGCGCCTAATGCAATGCGCGGCTGATATGCGCCTTTAATTATAAACACAAACCTGCAGGCTTTAACGGCGTTGCAAAAATCATCAGATGGAGCACACAGACAATCTCGCGAGAATGTTTTTTAAAAAAAAAAAACCCAGAATCTATTAAATGCAAATGAATGAAGGCGGGATTCGAAATAATAAATTGCCAATCAAAACCGCTTCAGACGCCGCATTTTTAGTTTCGCCTGGATACCAGATCCGTTATTATGGCGAAATCATTGTAGGATTGTAAGTTAGTTTTGGTATGAATTTCCCTCTCTACCTAATCTAGAACTGATGCAATTTGTTGTGATTTCGAATAAATTCGCGCAGACTTTGAGTAACTGCGACATAACCCCGAGCATCCATTTTGACAGGGACTTGTACCGAATCCGATATATCGATCTTTTCTCACTTCTGCATTTGGTGTAGGTATAGCAGCACGAAAGCTACTAGCTGACTGCATCGGGTGGAGCCAAGCAAGTGATATATATGCTTCAGCGAGCCGTAATAATACAGACTGTTGACAAAACCCATCAGCGCGGCTCCGCTGCCTTCCAGCCTGATAGCAATTCCGTTCGTGTTGACAAAGTGGACGCGCGGCTAAGATGGTGGGCAGGTTTACGGCTGAGTTCATCGCGCTGACCGCCTCCCGACTTAGACGAGCGAGATGACGAACGTCTCTCTATTCTTTTCGTTAGCAGGTGTCCTGGATCCGCAGGCACGACTTGCAGATTCTGACCATCGGCGAGATGACATTTACGCCGGACAAGCGCTTCCGGGTCATCCACGAGTCGGGATCGACCGACTGGACGCTGCAGCTGAAGCATGCCAAACAGGAAGACGCCGGCATCTACGAGTGCCAAGTCAGCAGCAACCCGACCGTCAGCTTGCTCGTCTCCTTGACGATACTAAGTAAAAGTCTAAATCTACTGGCAATGTCGTCGCGCGCGGCGCGATAGAAATATCAAACGCGCGTCGCGCCCCCGAATCGATGCCAATACAGTATCTGTGCTTCCAGCGGGACCATAGTTATACAATCTGTTTAAACATGCAAGCCAGCCGCGAAGAAAACACTGGTGTTACTCGTCTTAACATGCCCGTAGCGAGCGCGCGGCAACCTACGTGTGCAGATTCACTATAGCGATGTTCGAAACTTAATGAATCAATCAATACACACGCGCACACACGCACACAAACCTTTCAGAATTGCACGGCGCGCGCATTTATCACAGGCGACTGATTCGCCTCCCGAGTGCTAGAAAAACAAACTCATATCTTAAATCGACGAGCATCAGTACTGCACATCGTTGATTAACCCCTCGGCAAAGCCACTATATGAATTACCACGTTAGGTGCAGGACGATGACCTGACTATAATCGCCGAAACGTATCGATCTTCGATGAATCCTAAAATGAGATCGCGTCAACTGCTTTGCATTGTTGTCACTTGTCGCCGATAGGTGTCAACGTAATGTAAACACAATGACGCATAGCCCGTTATTACAGTGATTGCGGAATGCTGTTTAGCTCGACTTTTCACATCAATATTCAGTTGACGTGCGCACGTCAATTAGTCACTTTTCGGAGTGAAATGTCGCGACATGTAGGTCAATACGAAGCAGGGCGACTCGCTCGACATCGCGACATCAATAATCTAAAATCGGAAGCTTAGTTGACAAATCACTAAATAGTGCGCGCGTGATTGCGTGTGTGATTGTGCGCGTGTGTGCGTGAGTACTTGTGCGCGTGTGAGCGTAAGTACGTGTGTGCGTGGGTGCGTGAGTGCGTGGGTGCGTGGGTGCGTGGGTGCGTGTGTGCGTGTGTGCGTGAGTACGTGTGTGCGTGGGTGCGTGTGTGCGTAAGTGCGTGTGTGCGTGGGTGCGTGTGCGCGTGAGTGCGTGTGTGCGTGTGTGCGTGGGTGCGTGTGCGCGTGAGTGCGTGTGTGCGTGTGTGCGTGGGTGTGTGTGTGTGCGTGAGCGCGTGTGTGCTTGAGCGCGCGTTCGTGTGTGTGTGTGTATGTGTGTGTGCGTGCGTGCGTGTGTGTGCGCGCGTGCGTGTGTGCGTGTGTGCGTAAGTGCGTGAGTGCGTGTGTGCGTGAGCGCATGTGTGTGCGCGGGCGCGCGTGTGCGCTCGTGTGTGCGCGGGCGCGCGTGTGCGTGAGTGTGCGTGTGTGCGTAAGTGTGCGTGTGTGCGTGAGTGTGTGCGTGCGTGTGCGCGCGCGTGTGTGCGCGGGCGCGCGTATGCGTGAGTGTGTGCGCGTGTGTTTGCGCGCGTGTGCGTGAGTGTGCGTGTGTGCGTGCGTGTGTGCGCGTGTGTTTGCGCGCGTGTGCGTGTTTTTTTCCTCACTCGGCCGCCCGATGAATATTTCAGGATCCGAAGTGGCAATTCACGGCAACTTCTACGTGCAGCTCGGCAGTCCGCTTAAACTTCGCTGTAACGTGACGGCATCGCCGTCACCGCCCGTGCGCGTCTACTGGTACCACAACGACAGCATGATACAATACGACCAGCAGTCGCAGCGCACGCAGGTGTTCTACGAACTCACCGAGTACTCCACGACGAGTATTCTAATAGTGCAGGACGCGAAGCGAACTGATTCCGGCAAATACACGTGCAAGGCGAATTCTGCCGACAACAAAAGTGCTGACGTTGTCGTCACCAACGGTGAGTTTAATTAACATGTACGGGCGAAGCGCCACGACAGCGCGGGGCTTTGGTCGCGCCGAAGAGCGGCGCTGACATTTCTCGTTGTTATTACACTGTCGCATTCGGCGGGCGTTTTAATTTTACGCTGACAGTCGTCGTTTGATTGCCTTTCGTTTCCCCGGGCATAATACGAAATCTGCCGGTAGCTGAATATATATCTCGGCTTGTTCGCGATTTTCCGTTTCGAGTCATATATCTGCGCCGCGCCGTAGGACGCGACTACGAAATGCGCAACTTTATTTGATATTTCGCGATAATATTAAACGCCCGCGCGTTATAGTTGGTAAACCTCCTAAGGCATAAATAATCAAAAGCGTACACAACGACGTCCCCGCGCGCACGCACTCGAGCACGCACATGCGGCGACTAATAAACGCACAGAGGAAGACGTCAGCGCGCACGCATGTGCGCGCTTGTACGCCTACTTGAATACTGCGCCGAGGAGAGGAACGCATCATCGCAAGGGTTGCAAACTAAAAATCAAGTAATTGAGTAGAACGGTATTTTCTTGCGGCGACGGCGCATGATGTCGCATCTTCGTATTGGTACTGACGGCCGGTGCGCAACGTAGTAACAGCATTACGGGCCGTGTGCGACGCGAAATCCAAATCTAATGGACGATTAATGTCCTTTCTATCTGGGCCCGTCTGTCGAATACGCCGTAAGTCGCATCCGTTACAGGGCAGACAAAAAGACCTGCCAAAATCGGCAGAGTAACGAATGATTCAATCATGCGGCTCTTGTCGTACGAGAACGTCGCGTTTGTCGGTGCGTGGCTCGTGTCTTGCTACTGCCTGCCTGGTGTCCGAGTATGGCAGTCACTGGTGTCCGAGTATGGCAGTCACTGGTGTCCGAGTATGGTAGTCACTGGTGTCCGAGTATGGTAGTCACTGGTGGCCGAGTATGGCAGTCACTGGTGTCCGAGTATGGCAGTCACTGGTGTCCGAGTATGGTAGTCACTGGTGTCCGAGTATGGTTGTCACTAGTGTCCGAGTATGGTAGTCACTGGTGTCCGAGTATGGTAGGTAGTCCAGGCGTGGTGTCAACGGATATTGATAGTATTACTGCGTGGCCGATGTATGGGCACTCAGGCTGTATCTGCGAGTATGGCAGTCACCTGTTGTCCGAGTAGTGATAGCCACTGTGCCCATGAGTAGGCTAGTCAGTGCGGTATCGGCGAGTAATGATAGTCAGCTGTGTCGCAG